ATAGATCACTGTCACTCTGTTATGATGTCTCTTGGACTTTATAATAGAATGGAAGAAATTAGAACATCTGTCACCCTTAATGCCCCACTCAATTCTTGCCTTCTGTTGGAAAAAGGACATCTCACAATCCAGTAATTTATTGTAGGAGACTAAGCATTCCTTTTCTCGGTTAATGAGAACAGCATTGAGATGATCTTTCTGCAGATTTTCCTGAACTGTATCCAGATTTTTCTTTGCCCTCAGCACTTGCTCACTAATGTTAAGATAATGTCTTTTATTGATGTCCTTCAGAGCATTTTTCAAATTTTTTAGTTTTGTGAAGACTGAATACATCTTGTAACCCTCAATCTGTACTTGCCAGGTTGTAGACACAGCTGACAGATAACTTGCATGTTTAGTCCACATGTTGAAGAACTTGAAAGGTTTTTTCCCTTGTAGAAAATCCTCTAGAATTGAAACCAGTGCTGGAGAATGGTCAGAGAAGCTTGGCAATAAGAACTCCACATGACTAGAATTGAAGTTGTTGATCCAAGAATCATTTACCAAGGCTCTATCCAATCTACTCCATACCCTTGTGTTTGCTTCTTGCTTATTGTTCCATGTAAAGAAACATCCAGAATTTTTAAGATGCTCAAGCTGGCAATTTTCAATGAAATCACAGAAATCCTTTGTGTCAGTTTCTGAAAGATTAACTCCCCCAATTTTCTCTTCATTGCTTATCATTGTGTTGAAGTCCCCACAGAGTAACCATGGTGAATTGCCAAGGGAATGATATAGTTGGCCAAGGTCAGACCAAAGACTTTTCCTACCCAGAGAACTATTGAAGCCATAAATTGAAGAGATGAAACAGTCCACTCTCCCATCAAGAGATTTAACAGAGCAAGTGATCTGTTGATCTGAGCTAGTAATCCACTGTATGTCTAGAATGTTAGGATCCCATAAAATTATGATTCTAGCCTTTCCAGAAATCCTTACATTTGATATATACTTCCAATTAGCAGCAACCTTCCCTGTTATATTTTGAATATTTTTTTCTTTGACTTTAGTTTCTAGAAGAGCAATGTAGGATAAATGATATTGCACTATATAGTTTTTAACCAAGTGCTGTTTAGAGGATTTATTCAATCCTCTGACATTCCAAAAGGATAGGTTCATCTGTTTTTCCCCCTTCTTTCAACATTAGAGGGATCTGCTCCTAATCCATATGGAGAAATGCTTGAGAAAGAGTTCAGGTTGTGAATATACCTTTGCACAAGAGCCCCTGATTTTCCAGATTGTGTGGGTTTTTTTCCTTTATTTGCCCCCCCAGATATAGCTTTCTGTAAATGCTCAACCTGTATATGCTCACTTCCAGGTGATGTCTCCTGTGTATGCATAACATGCACAAACTGAGATCCAAGCATAAGGTTTGGCAGTAACACTTGTTGAACCCCAACTTCAGGAGTTATTTGCTGCACACTTGCCATTGATGTTTCACCTATTCCTGAATCATACTGTGTAGATTTTTCATGTACAACATGCACAACTCCCTGGGAATTAGATATGTTACTAGGTGCAATCTGAACCCCACTTCCAGATATATCTAAATCAGCTTGACCATGCTTAACATGCATAGAACCAGAGTTGGTTTCAAGCATACAGTTTGGCAGTATCACTTGCTGAACCCCCATATCAAGAATCCTTTGTTGAGATCCTTGATTTTCCTTTTGCTTTGGTACCCATCTCTGAGTCCTTGGAAAGCGTTTACAAAAGCTTGTTTCATGACCCACCTGCTTACATTTTTCACACCATCTAGGCTTCAACTCATAGTGTACAGCTTGATTGAAACATTTCCCATTTGGATCCTGTATAGTAATTTGATCAGGGAGAGGGGATGGCATACTAACTTCAACAAGCACTCTAGCATAAGACAGCCATAGCTTATTTGCAGTGAGCTTATCTGTTGCTATTGGCCTTCCAATGGTACTAGCTATTTTACTGATAGCCTTTTCATTCCACAATTAAGCCTAAGAGAAGGCAATTGGATCCACATAGGATAAATGCATTCCTTATTCCTTTCATATTCTTCGCCTATTGAC